ACCAATAAAAATTGGGCGCGAACGTGTAGGGTGCGAAAGTGAAAGGGGGGCGACCATGCATGGGGGCGAAAGTGATTGGGCGCGAACGGACCCGGATTCATTTTTAACGTGCTAGTAACAAGGTAACAGTCCGCAGGAAGACATGTCACCTTACCTGGACACATTATTCTGACTCAGAGCCGACCAGTCTTTGCTCTTACTCCTTAATGCTGCTTGCTTAGGGGAGAAGTAGCAAATATCAATTTTAATGTCTTTGATTTGACCCAAACGAGGTTCGAACCCACGACCTCCTGCACTCAAGGCGAGCACGCAACCAAGAGACCACTGAGGCGGTCCCATAAAACGAGGATAATTCATAAGTGTAGAATTACTTAAGGTTCATGTGGACCCATTGGCTAAAATGGCTGCATTTTCACCTCAAAATTTACTCTATGTACAGACAAACCTGCGCATCTGGAAAAAATTTAAGGCATAGCATGCCCTAGATAAATAAACTTCTTATGCATTGTATGTTTTAGAAAATTTAAAACTTGACTGGATTTTGCAGTGCACTTTTTTTCGTCCCTGCAGAAGATGATAAAATAAACAAACAGTCGAGTTTCACTTGATATGGTCCACTCAGGTACACAGTTTAAATCACCAATTATTGTCAGGTATCTATTGTCCATCTATTGTCCATGTCAATCAATACAGTTCACTTCAATTATTACCTGTGGGGAAGTTCTCAAACCTCTTTCCCAACTTAGTTTATTTTGGCACCTTCTGGAGGAATGAAAAAAAGTGCACTGCAAAATCCCGTTAAGTTTTTAATTTTCTAAAACATAAAATATATTTGAATTTTATTTATCTAGGGCATGCTATGCCTTAAAACTTTTTTAGATGCACAGGTTTGTCTGTACTCAGAGTAAATTTTGAGGTAAAAATGCAGCCATTTTAGACGAAGGGTCCACATGAACCTTAAATATGTCCAAGTCCAGCCATGCCTTAAATCTTTCCTCTATGCACCAGTTATTCTGTACGCAGTAGATTTTGTGGTGTAGGAACAGCCATATTTGTCAATGCCTTTTGATGAACAGTAAATACAACCATTTGAAACATAACTTCATAAGGGAGATAATTTCTAATAAATCGAGAATTTGCGATTTACATAACATATCTAATAGTTTTCCAAACCCTTTCTATTTTGGGAAAAAATACTCATTACGGATATTGTTGTGTTTGAAACTGATAAGAGTATAACCACAGCTAGTGGTAAGACTGGGGGAAAAAACAAGCACATGGGTTATTGGGCATCCGGATACATAAACCTTTCAACTTAGCAATGGGAAAATTGCTATACCTTTTGTAAACGTTCTGTTAGAACTGCTTTAACACCAGTTTTATCGAGACCACGCTTTTCTAATTCTGCACGTAAATCTACAACGCGTAAATCCACCAATTTCTTCGCACCCTCAACTTGCGATGCCATTTTGTTGGAAGTTACCCGGATGAATAGCTAAATACCGAAAAGATTGAAATATAAGTCCTCAACGAAGGACTGTTCAAAGCGGAACAAATTTCAAGCATGTAGTTATTTATTTATAAAATGTCTATATAATAAATAAAGCCCAGTCTATACTTGCTTACATCCACTTAATTTGAACTTTGGTGGGTAGTAGTCGCATTGGCAATCACACCACGTCTCCCTATTTTTATATAAAAGGTCCCGAAATGTAAAAATGTAAACCTATACAAGCGGAAAAACCAACACACTTATTTAACCACACTGATCACCACAGCAAATACACCGACGATGATATCATTAAAATGCTGGCCATTTTAATCGACAACATGTTTGTTGAGTTTGGTGGATTGATATTTCAACAGACGGCAGTCGACGGTATTCCAATGAGTACTAGTTGAGCACCACTACAGGCCGACTTGTTATTGTACTCGATATGAAGCAGAATTCATGAAAAACCTTCTCAAAGAAAAAAAGAAACGTTCCCTTTTCAATACCGGTATATTAATGATGTACTGTCACTAAAAATAACCCATGCACATTTCAATGAGTGTGTACGTCTCATATATTCATTAAGTATACTACCGAAAGTAGAAGTTTTGCGTTCCGCTCATGCATGTTCACACTATACGGACTTCATTTTCAATGGTGTACTCCTGACAAAAAAACATGTTTCAATCATGTGACACTTTTGATAAAACATAAGAATGCATAATAGAAACATGAGAAATTATACCAGAATAACAGACCACATAAGCCACTTACGACCTTCCTAAATTTAAGCAACAGTAATAAACGATGTTCAAAACTGATGGAATGGCATAAACATCATAAGAATCGAGATACCGTACGTACCGTCGACAGGGTAAGCATCTCTTGTTATGCATGCATCACCTGCCATCCGTAACAACAGTCAAAATGGAAAGATAGGGAATGGGGAATAGGAAAAAGTAAAATAACAAAAATACCGAACTAAAAGGAAAATTCAAAACGGAAAGTCCCTTATCAAATGGCAAAATCAAAAGCTCAAGCATATTCCTGACTTGGTACAGGCATTTCCTTATGTAGAAAATGGTTTTATAGCTAACTAAACCTCTCACTTGTATGACAGTCGCATAACATTCCATTATACTGACAAAAAAAAAAACAATGTGTGAACAAAACAAACGGACATAATAGGTCAAAATGTCAAAAATAAGGGTACAGCAATCAATATTGTGTTATAATCTTAATCACTATAAAACAAACAAATATGTCAACAAAGAAAAACAAAAAGCATATAGACAAAGCAAATAAGCAAAAATGAAAGACAAGAATACAAAAAATGACCATAACACAATAACACAATGTCGGGATGTATTAGAACGATCCACGCCAAAAGGATATTACCAAAAATGGACTAAATAGTAAAAGTAAATAATTTACAAAGACAAATAAAAGAACACTATAACACGCAATTAAGATGATAAACAACGTCAGTACCTATAATCTATACTTCAAGACCATCATAAATTATTTGTGAAGTTGATACGGAATATTTATCAACAAAGTTTTTTTTTCTCTTTTTTTTTTAAAGTTTTTATTTCTAACAATTAAAGCATATACGTGACATACATACAATATAATATATTTAAGATATATACAATGTCATTATTATAAATACATTATAATTGGAAATATTTGACATTTTCTATAGAACAGATCAAAAGAAAACGTTGAAAAAATATGCAAATAAATAATTAGATAAATAAATAATAATAATTAACAGATAAAATAGGAGTGGAAAATGAAGACGAAGAAAAAGAAGGAAAATTTATCTAGATACATCCCTATCTATATTTTTTAAAATTTTTAAATGTAACATATTCATAATGAATTATATTTGAAAAATTAACTATACATATTTCTTTCGTAACAGCCAGCAACACAGAACATAAATGACAATAATATATTCTCTAAAAATTATTGGTTAAATGTCATAAGTAAAATAAAAAAAATAATCATTAGAATGTATTAAATAACAGTTTTTCAAAAACTTTCCATACATTGTCAAGTTCAGTTATTTTTCTATTTTTTACAGCTATCATACTCTCTAATTTATAACTCCCTCAGGCAAAGTTGACCTTAGATGGATTTGGCTATTTGTTTAAGGTATTTTTGTCATATAGCTCTTCAACTGTTTCGGTACTTATACATTCCTCGGATTTCAAATGTTTGGCTTTGAGCGTTCCTGATGAAGGTTAATCCAGATAAGCGCTTCGGACGCATGCTATTATTAAACGTGTTGTTTTCAATATTTTATATATATCAAAAAATTGAATAAAGGAACATTTTGTCTGTGTTGTATTTTCCACCTCTTTTTAATATAGTGTGGAAGCTCTTCATACTAATAATGTGCGCATCAAGGCTTTTACAACCCTTTAAATACAATGAAAGAATAATTCAGTTCTTATGTTTAATAGAGGTTAACAGGCTATATATCTGTAGACCTGTAGAAAGTCCGAAATGTCAAATGTGCTAGGTTTCCCTAGTACAATGGATGTATGTACAAAATGACATCTTACAATTACATTTTTTATCTTCTACTTATTATTTAGGATTGCCTCCTTGGAATGGGTACGTTGAAAGTCTCTCCCCCTTTGTTTTTACACATATGAAGAAACAAACACTCTGAAAGAAACAAAAATATAATATTGGATGTCACTGCCCCTTTTCATCAAACATGTATGAAGTTAAAAATAAACTGTCATAGGCAATTAACTCGCTATTTAACTACAAATCAATCCTAAATTTAATTATAGCATACAACTGTTCGAGTGGTCCAAGTCAAATCATAATTTGACATTTAACTGTAAATAATAACTCGTTTGCATAGAACGAACAGGCATGAAAAAGTATAACTACACAATTTAATATAATGTAATAGGTTGCATTGGAATTGTTACAGTTTGTATTGTTATAACATCTTAAAAAATTTGGCTGAAGCCTGAGCGGTTATTTACCTTCGCAGCCATGGATGCCATGATGTCTGGTTTTTTTCGATGTATAGCGTTACAGCAAAAATCTAAATAGCTTTAAACGACGTCATGATTATTTCGACTAATCATACTCAATAACCAACTTCTTGGTTTTATGTCTTGGATATTATCCTTTTAAACTAGGTAAAACGCTTAGATTATTCCGACTGTCATAAATTACCATCTCGATTTCATTTAAAACCCAGAAGCTATACTTTGAAATATTAAAGCGGCTGCATGATCGAGACTAGCTGGATATTCGCTTGAATAGTAATCATAAACTAAATTAAATGGAGACTGAGATCAGCTAATGCTTCTGGTGTTTCTTCCGAGTATAACAAGCATAATAAACATACGTGTTTATTGCAATAAATTTCCAATGTAAAGGCGAAGAATAGTATTAAAGGAATAAAGATAACGATTCAAAGAACAAACTCACAAATTATTCAATAGATATTGTAATACGTTACAAATATTAATACCATCGAACATTGAGAATGCTGAAGTGGACATATTGTTATCTTCTCATTTTCTGTTGTAGTGGAATTCTTGGTGAGTTGTTAAAATAATATCAAGAAAGAAAATATATGATTTAAATATTTCATTTTATTTTAACACAATACAAAATTCTATTTCTTACTCATTAAGAGGAATTTTGAAAAAGAGTTTTGTGGACTATTCGCTTCATTACTTGTTTAGAGTCAGGAAATTTGATAATTTGCCAAAAAAACAAAAAAATAGTTTAAAAAAAACATCAGATTTTTAAAGTTGTCTGTTCCGTTCCTAATTTTCATTTTCAATTTGGTATGTTTTTTTCGAAAGAATTTCATAAAGTTGTAGAATTGTACAGATAACTACATCATGAAGATATTTACTTCATCTTGTAGTCCTCAGGACGTTACCGACACATAAAGAGAGGCGAAAGATACCAAAGACATCACATAAACGATACCAACTTTCCAGAACCAGATGCGCATTTTGATAATTTATTCTATTTTCTGTGATGCTCGAGGCCAAAATATTTGAAAATTTTCTTACTCTTATAATTTTATGTTTCTTTCAGGCGAAGAAATAAACATCACCCTTGAAGGAAAAAAGGACAGGCATCTTTTGTCTGAATTCAATGCCTTACCAACACACGAGAAGTTTGTGTCATTTAAACTTAAGTCATGCTATGAAGGTGTAATCTGGTTTTTGTCAAAAAGTGCAGGTTTTCAAAACGATTACGTGTTTTATATGGCTTCTATTGGAACTTCGTACAATACGCTTTCAACATTAGGTGGATTTAAGGATGGAGCAGTGATTGAATGGCAGAGGATCAGCGACCCACAAGTGGACTGCAACAACTACAAACAGTTTTGGTTTAGTTGGGACGATGGGTATTTAATGGTAGGAAAAGGAAGCATTAAAAATCAAAGTGTTCTGCTGATCCATCAACCAAAATGTCCATTTGACACAAAACAGATTGGTATCAGTGGTCACGACTCACTTACACACTGGATTTTCAATACAAGTAAAGTATATTTTTCAAATAAAGATTATAGGTTTTAGCTGTTGTAACATTGATTTGTATCTTTTTTTGTATTTTGTTTGTTTAATAATACATAAAAAGGGATAACATGAATCACAAAAAGGACAACACAGTACAACAAACCACACAAACGACCGACACCCTTCTCCTCAGGAAAAAAAACAGACGCACAAACAAAGACAAACAACAACGAACAATATTTCATCCAGACAACCTGACTTGTAATAGCCTATATGATGTTTTAAAATTTTTATTTGAATTAAAGTTATAGATATAACGAATGATGAATCTTGATCAATCATCAACAATTTCGATGCTCGGCGTATAGTTTATAAAATGTATCGGTCGTTTGCTGATCTAGACAATAAGACACCCAAATAGAGTATACCACCAAAACTTAAAAAATCATGATAAAAGGGCAAATATGTACAGAAAAGGTATTTACATCAAATTGTAATACTCAATCAAGTCATCAACCTTAATAACAACCAATTATTCACATCATTTTTTCACCTTTCTATTAAAGCAAACTCAAATACAACAACTCCACAGGAACAGGAGAACAAGAAAGTTATTACAAGATACAGACTTACACTGAGCTGCCCAGCAAGTCAAGTTGTTCTGACTATGGACACCAAAAGTACAATTGAATGCCTGATAATGTGTACATGTGACAAACAGTGCGAGAGAGCAATGTACAAATCTGATATATCACCTAACTGTGTACTTATGACAGATGAACCTGTAATAGATGGGACACAACCAAATTACATGCCAACACATTAATATAACAATCTATTTATACCGAATACATTATTCAAAATGTATTCCAAGGCATTTATAAGAGACATTTAAAATGACAAAACGTGACTTATTTCTATTTTATTTTTCTGTTTTTATTGTATATTTATGAGTAGATAAAAGTAAATTTTATGTGTAAAACAGTCAATGACAATTATTCTGTATCAGTAATCCGTGCTGATATCGATTTATGTATTACGTCACGTCACGTGAAATCATTTATTCTAGAAAAATATCCAGGAAAAAAACACTTAGGACACACGAAACTAGTAAAGTGTTTATTTTTATTTACTTAAGCACTAGGTCGATACCACTGTTGTTGGACTCTTAGTTCCCGAGGATATCATCAGTAGTCAGTGGTTCGGTACTGACATGATTTTTAACGATTTGTTTAATTCTCCGTTGATAAATTACAATATTATTTAGAGATTAAGGTTGGAATCTCAGGCAAATATAAATAAGAAGATGTGGTATGAGTGCCAATGAGACAACTATCTATCCAAGTCACAATGTGTAAAAAACAAACAATTTACGTCCTTCAACACAGAGCCTTGGCGCACACCGAACAGCAAGCTAGCAAGGGTCCCAAAATGACTAGTGTAAAACAATTCAAACAGGAAAAGCAACGGTCTAATCTATATAAAAAACGGGAAACGAGAACCACTTATGAACCACACCAACAAACGACAACCACTGAACAACAGGCTCCTGACTTAGGACGGGTTTATAAGAATGCAATTTTCATTGAGGTATATAATAAGTTGTACATGATATGGCTTTTTTTTTATTTAACACGCCGTATCAATCCAAAACCAATATAATCTCTCTAACAGAATTCTTTAGACTATTGATGTGTCTGATTGATACGGCTGTGATATTGAAAAATCAATATGACTTTCCCTATCTATTTCATAATTATACATGCTGTCTATTGTTTGCTGATAAGGACATTTTATGTTAAATTCAAAAAGGATTATATTTCCTGATAGTGTGCAAATCGGTCAAACAAATTGGAAAATCAGATGGATAGAAAATCTTTCTGTCATCAATATCAGAGTGGTAATGCTAATCCTAAACTTTACGTACTTAAAATCTGTTAATAATGAAAACAGGTATTTATACCGTAAATAAATGTCTACCTAGAGAAGATAAAAATACTGGATAATAATTCAGGAAATGTGTCACGTTTAGGATTAGCAGGACCACCTTTAGCTGTCTCGTAGATCTTGACTGCTTAAAGTGTTCAAGGTGTAACACCACTAATTCGGATCCAGTCTGAAAGTAAATACCCGAAAGTAGTACAAACAGTTCCTACGCATGGGTGTAACTTTCAAAATACGTAGAATAGTTTGGTAATTTTTGTATCAAATGAAGCTGAATGATGATTGGAGAACCCTTTTTGACTTTATAATTTTGATAATAAAAAAAATATATGAAATTTAAAAAGGAGGGTACATTTTCACTGACCCACAGATCTGAAGTACCTGTTTTGATACTTCACAAGTTCCGAAAACCAGTACTATCTTATATGCAATTAAAGGTATGTTGATTTTTTCAGTACAATACACCATTGGGTGCTGCTTTGACATGCAATGACTGTCACTTTATTTGAACGTAAGACGAAAGAGTTCTGACTGCTTGAATTTGAAGAATCAAACATAGAAAGCAATTGGGCGATGAATTAGTGGTGTTCCTCCTTAACATTGTGGTGTGAAAAATCGGTGTCGTAAATAACGATATTTTGGTGTAAAGATAATTTTCGGTTTTTACCAAAAAAGCAGTTTGCTGTGTCAAAATTTGGCTCTTTGTGTCAAAGAAGACTATTTTTTGGCAAAGATAATCATTATTCAGTTAGTGTTATAGATGACTAGTTAATATGCAAAATACTTTTTTGACAGCTGTAATAGGACATAATTCCAAACAACAAAGACTTATACAATAAGAATAGTTATTAGTAAGAATTAATCTCTAAAACAAGTCATATTATATGAATATACTAATTATTAAACATTAAAATCGAAGGAATGTCAACCGAAGTTTACATTTTATTGATTTATGTTTTGTTGCAATACTTGATTTTGTCACCACGAAAGATAGTTAAAAATGTAAATGAGTTGATGTACAGCCTCCACTAATTATATAATTACTGACACCTGCAGCAATAGTAGTTTTGCCTTAAACCATAAAACTAGTTAATACATGAACAAACTTGACAGTTTAATTATCATAATTTCTTATATTGTTTTATTTATGTTTATTCAAAATCATTTATTTTTATTTTTGATAATGTTTATCTTGTTTTTTTTTAAAATTTGACGCTTATGTCTTAATTAACAAATAAACCAAAATATGACCAGAGGCACACTATTTCAATTTACGTGGTGTCTTAATTCACTAGCCACATGTTTTGTGCTGTAATAGATGTTTAGGTACCAGTATAGTCGTCTGGTTCCTAAATTTTTGCCGATTGTGTCCTATTTCGGATTTTGATATTTTGAATGAGCGTGAATTCGAATGGCACCCTGTCGACGTACCTGTTCTCGCTCCTTTTGGAGTTCATGTGATTCCCTAATTTTTTGTTTGTTACCTTTATTTGTCTCTCCTTTACCGATTTTACAGATTTGAACATTCACTAGCTACATGTTTTGTGGTGTCTTAATTCACTAGCCACATGTTTTGTGGTGTCTTAATTCACTAGCTACATGTTTTGTGGTGTCTTAATTCACTAGCCACATGTTTTGTGCTGTAATAGATGTTCAGATACCAGTATAGTCGTCTGGTTCCTAAATTTTTGCCAAATGTGTCCTATTCCCGATTTTGATATTTTGACTGAGCTTGAGTTTGCATGGCACCCTGTCGACGCACGCGTTCTCACAACTTTTGGAGTTCATGTGATTCCCTAATTTTTTGTTTGTTACCTTTATTTGTCTCTCCTTTACCGATTTCACAGATTTGAACATCGATGAAATGCTGTCGACTTAATTGTACCATGAGTGAGAAAAGGTACTTTTTATGCTTAGCCAGTCATGCGATTCAAAATCAAGTTTTTGGTGTTAAAGTCAGTATTTTTTTATTTTTTTCATTGTAATGCGTTTATTAGCAAAAATACATGTATCAATATTAAATGTTATAATTATTGTAATTAGTGCATAGCACATCGGCAAAATCAAGACAAATACATATAGTTGTTTATTTGTATGATTTGACAAACTTATGAATAAATAATAATAGTAAAAATCCCAGGCCGTCTGGATTGGGAGGATATTTGTATTTCTTAAAAGTTTAATTGCATTAAGTATTCTATTAGTTGGAGCATGTCATAATCAATATATGGAAGAAATAACACACTGTTTAATCTTTACGGTGCTTTAGTTTCTCAACCTAGAGTTCAAACATGGTTATTCAGGTTGAAATCAATCTTTTTAGTTAAAATTGAAATGATTTATTTTGAGGGATCTCTGTCTAAAATATTAATCGTAAATTCAATATGTGATACGATAAATGACAGATTCGTAGTCTATAGTAGTATCAATTCGTTCATAGATTTGGTTACAAGTTTGTCTGTACCCTTAGAAAACTTAATACAAACGGAATAGCATATCCTAATTTTTACGGTGATGTTGTTTAACGAGCCAGTATATTTAGATGCGATCCGGGTAAACTTATGGATCTTTTAAAGACAATTTTTTGAAAAGATTATCAATTCAACACAAATAGATCCTTGAACATTATTCTTATCGGTATAAATATAGATTTTTGTTTTCAATAAATTAAAACCAAACCAAATATTATTGTCATACACATTTGTACATTCACGGTCCTACAATATGTCGATAAATCTAGATTGGCATTGCACAAGGACATTTATTCTCTGGCTGTTAAAGACGTCTTTACACTTAACCACTGGATATTGGATGTGTACTGATTGATATTTTAGTCTTAGATACCTGATTTTTTATTAGTTGATAATGGCTTTGAACTAGCTTACAGTAATTGCGAGTACTCTCAGTTCTGTCTTTTGTGTTTTTATTCGTTTTTTGTGTGCTTTGTATCGATCTGATGAGTTAAGCCCTTTTCAACTTATTTTTATAGTATGATCATTGTAACAGACAGTAAATTGTACTGTTACACCACTGTCCCAGGTTAGGGGATTTTGCCCCAGCAAACAAGTTTTACCCCGTCAAATTCTGTATGTGCCTGTTCAAAGCCATGAGCTTGCAAATCAGTGGTTTTCGTTTGTTGCTGTATATCATATTTGTTTTTTCGTTTATTGTTTTGTATATAAATAAGATCGTTAGTGTTCTCGTTTAAATTGTTTTACATTAATTTTGTCTTTTCGGGGCCTTTTGTACCTTACTATGCTGTATCGGTTTTGTTCATTGTTAGTGACCGTACGGTGACCTGTAGCTGTTTACTTCGACTTAATTTGGCCTCTGGTGGAAATTTGTCGCATACGACAGCTTCTTATTTCTATATAAACTGTTTCGTGTTTTGTGTAGAAATGTAAGCCTTCTCTATTTTCTTGTTTCTTTTAGTTGAAGTAAATTGAGTTGTTTTAGTATGGGAACCATTGATCCAGGATCATAGTCTGTGTAGTTAGATATTTAAAACATAGCCCATGACTCTCTTTTGGGCGTTTTCTAATTTCTCCTGCAGATGAAGTTTTAAGGGGATCTCCTGCAGCACTTGAACATTACATTATGCCGGTTGTAATCTCATATCCCACGTTGTTGCCAAATTTCCTAGTCTATCTATATCTTCCAGTCATTTTCTTTTACAATCTTTGATGGTGTTGATTTCCCTGCAGTAAACGCAGTTATCGACTAACGGTCTGTTAATTTGTATAGGTGTTGTTGATGTGTACCCGAAATATAATAGGTCCCAAGATGGTACCATGTGGAACTCCTTAGACCACAGATGTTGTTCTTGAAATGTCAAGCACGCATTCGATCCTCCGCATAAAAAATGATTTGTTTGCTGTATTTCATAACTATTGATCTTACATTTAAGAAGTGCGTGAGGTACTGTATCAAATCCGTTTTCAAAATCGAGTATAGAATGTTTCCTGTTGTCGGTGCAAGTTGCCTAGTCGTGTTTAACACTTACATATGTACTTGTACGATCCACTACAGAACATAAAG